TAAGTAGATAAAATCAATGTCAAACTATGGAATAAGTCAATAATTTGTTAAGTTCCGTTTGAATAAAATTTTATTTGCCACTTGTATTGACTTATAGGGATAAACGATTATAAATCATCCATGTGCACAATATCCGCGATGTCGAATAAGGTATTGAGAGTTTAGTACTAGCCATAACAATAAATAATGTATAGCAATTATTCAATGAAGCTTAGGACCAGCACTCGAATCGTTATATTCTTATTCGAAGGAATAAATTTATGCGTGCAATCCGTATGCTGCAAAAAAGTAAAAAAACAGAAATATTCTTAGTTCAATGCAAAATGAGAATCACTTGATAGGTATAACGTACCGAAATTGTGGTACTTTCATTTTTTCTGTCATTCGAGAAATTTTTTTCATCCGCTTAGAGCAAACTTCAAACTAAGTTTCGGAAATTTTCAGCAAACATTGTTGCTTTTTTTATTTTATGTTAGCAGACTTCCTGCAGATATGTTTAGTTCCTACTTAAATGAACAACAATTCTCTTTCCCTGATACGGTGACTTATTACTATTTATTGCAAGTTGAGTCCAGTTTTACTAAAGGGTTCGCTAAGAACATTCTTTAGTTTCGAGATTTGTCAGCATTTTTTATAAGCAGCATTAATGGTGATGATTGATAAGATTTATTGCTTTACACGGTCGTAAATTATAAAAGGAAATAAAACTAAATTTCGTGCAACTCTCAAGTTGATCGTTGGATGAATATTTAATTTTCGTTAATATTCTTCTGCATTCGTTGTCAAAGAATGCAAACTGCAATTTAAATTGCTGCAAACGGCATGGTTATAGACGACGGTTTTTTTCGCGGAAAAAATTATGCTTGCATAAATAAATTTTTATCAGCACAAGAAATTATGAATAATACACTTTTCTTTACTATCCATTCACTCGCATTCTACAGACGTTATTACGCTGTTCCGTTAAATCATGATAACTATTAAACGGTAACCGTTTATATTTAAACAGTAACAGTTTCTTCAAACAAAATCAAACCAAGAATAAAGTTATAGAAGCGAGTGGTAGACGTAAAATTTATATGTACCTGCTTTAATCCGATCGTTCAAGTCCAAATTGCACTTGCCATGTTAAAATAGCACATATTCGAAATCATAAAACTTATTGATGCAGACATATTTCCTCAAGTTACATCAAAATGCAACTTCAATGGCATTCAAGTATGGCATTCAAGTAAATATAAACCTGAAAGTTTATTTCCCCTACTTCACCTGGGGTTCAGTAGTCTAGAATGATCAAAATAATTTATGAAACTTTGATAAGGAAGCCATTGGTCATTGCGGTAGGAATTCTCATCACCGTTCAATTATTGTTAAGAGACAGCTTAGCGGAATTTTTTGTAAGTGCATGATCAATCGGTAGTAAATGGTCGTTAGCAAATTTTGATGGTGAAGATTCGAGGGTAAGATTGTGGGTAAATGGTCGGTAACCCATTAAGTCCCTTATCAAACTGTGCCCATAGACTCGCATTCTGTACTTCTTGCGACTATTGTAAAGAGACTATTTAAGAAAATAAGTACCGTATCATGTACGTAAGTAACTTTCGATATACCTGTAGGTATTGCTAAAACTTCGAAATATTAAGTAAAATAAAAATGAAGAGTGTTATAAGAGGGGATGGGTTCAAGATTGCGGTATGTAGATTTATGAGCTGATACACTATCTTGAACTGATACACTATCACATATCTCCTGTCACTATACGTCTTCGCGGACCACACTGCCAGTGCATTCTTAACATGTGGGCTAGAAACACGCTTGATGATATCGTTCATTTATTTTGTAATGACGTATAACACGAAATTTATGATATTTGCTAGGATTAGTGTGGTATGGGGACATCACGTGGACGGTGTATTAAATTGGTTTTGGAGCCTCTCAAATCACAACCATCACAACAACTTATAGAAGCTATAACGAACCTCACAGAAAATAAGAGAATGAACTCAGAGGAAATAAATAACAATAAAACCGTAACTGAATTTAATAACAATCTGGTGTACACTTTGAAGATTTAAGTTTTACGCTTGCTTTTATCGCGATTTTTCAGGAGCATGTTTCGAGACCTCAATTCCAGTATATACAGCCTTTAATTTAAAAACGTAAATTCAATTTACGGTTATTATATATCGCCAGTTATAAGGTCTTCTGGCAGTTTAGGATTGGTCCCATCTAGCACCATGTGCCAAATAGTAACATGTGGCCTCGTAACTGTAGGCCTCTTCCTCAGGCCTCTTTACAGTACGTAGTACGGAACATTCGTCATTCCACAGTCATAAGTGAAACTTTAAACTGCAATGCTATCAATCTGGAATAAAAATGATTCGTGGAAAGTCTTTTCACAAGACGAGTCTGAATTCAACCGGCTTCAGCATCTTAAGAACCAAATATGCAGCAAAAACAGAGCTATTACTGGAGAGGGACATACAAAAAAGGACCAGACATTTATAGCGGTGCTTGGTTTGCTAGTGTCATTTCTTTATGGACATCTGGAACAGCACAAGTGTGACTGGACGATTTATATCCTACTGCTTAAGGCGACGACAAATAATGGTTTTTCATTCCCATTATCAATAATGCATCACTTGAAAGAATTTTCTTCCTCGACTTGGAGTGCTTATGACTGGGACGACTATATTTTGGATTTTCGTTTTGGCGTTCGCTATATTCAGCTTCGCGCTGACTGTAGACGTGCATCACTGTTATATGACCCAAGCTTAATATGGCTGCTATTAGCATATTCGGCGAAGCGTCTGCTCGGCCTGCAGTCAGCTGCTACAGCCCTTGATCCATCCGTCTGTGAGGGAGTAGATTTACTCGTCGTGGTCGACTGCTCCAGCAACTGTCTAAAGGGAGAACAGACGCGGCAATCCTGCTGCTGTGGCCTTCACCTGGCGAGATGCGCGGGGCAATCATGTCGACCTCCTTCGATCTAAAAGAGTCATTTTGGCACCAGAGAGTCGACGCGGAACGCAGCGATTCTGCAGCGCGATGGCGTTGGCTGGATAAGATTATGGGAAGAGGTCATACAGATGCTTGGGGTGACCGGTGACGTATGCGTGAAGGAATCCCATGCGGTTTTGAAAACAAAATTGCTGTTGTGCGAGCTTCGTCAGCAGATGCTCCGTCAGCAACATTTGCGCCGTGCCCGATCGACTGTGTGCTCCAAAAATTCCCTTGCGTCACAGCTGACGAAGTCATTGCTGCAGTGCGCTCGCTGTCTAACAAGCAGTGTGCCAGCGATCCGCTGCCGACGTCGTTACTTAAGGGGAATGTCGTAACTCTAGCACCTTTTCTGGTCCAATTTTCCAACCGCTGCTCCACTGAGGGTGTTGTTACGGAAAACTTCAAATCAGCCTGCATTACTCCTCTATTGAAATATTCAGACCTTGAAGCTTCTGATCCAAAATCGAATTTCCAAGTAATTGTAAATTTCTATGTATCTACTACAATGAATTCTGATTCAGAAATGCATGGTATACCATCAATGAAGAACAAGTGGTAAAACCTGCGGACGTCGAGAAAATAGTAGAAAAATCGCGCGCTTCACGAACAGCGAGGAGCAAATTTTTATCGTTCCAGATAGCAGTTGAAATAAAAAGTTTTTCAGACTTGTATCTAATTTATTAGGGAAGTTATTGGACGAATTCATACAGTTACGCGCATATTTATTGGCAACACACTTAAAAATATTTAATTTGAGAAATAATATAATTTGAAGCATTTATTGCAATGTCTGCATTTATTTTCAGTTGAATTGACCAAAGAAAATATAATTACTGTGCATAACGGATAATAAAACGTTTGATCTTTGTTGTATTTATATTTATTAGAAAAACACCAAAAGCAAAAGTAATGGCAACATTTGAAAAAAAAACATATAAATTGTTGGCAACTATAAATTATTAATACTTTGTGTGACCTCCCTTGGCAGCAATGATAGCATACAGACGCTTCTTGTATGTTTCTACGAGGTGTTGGCATGTTTTAGTAGGAATTTTGTGCCACTCTTACATGGCAAAAGTCTTTAATTCTTCGATGTTGCTGGGTCTTCTTTTATGAACACGCCTCTTGAGTTCCCTACCTAAATTTTCAATTGGATTTAAATCTGGGCTTTGGGAAGGCCATTCCAACACTCTCAATTTCTGTGTAGCAAAATATTTCTGTGTTGATTTGCTTGTGTGCTTAGGGTCGTTATTCTATTGAAAGTCAAATGCCCGTCCAAGATGCAGTTTTCTTGCCGATTGCTCAACATTATCAGTTAAAATGTGTTGATATCCTTCAGAATTCATGATGCCCTCTATCACTGAAATATTCCCAGTACCTGCAGCAGCGAAGCATCCCCACTACATGATGGACCCACCACCATGCTTCACAGTAGGTAGAGTGTTCTTTTCCAGCAGAGCTTCACCAGATTTCCTCCATACAAGGCGGTTGTCATTCACACCAAAAAGTTCAAGCTTTGTCTAGTCCGACCACAAATATATTATTAAGCTCTGCTTGAGTAGCATCGATGTGCTTCCTGGTGAACTCCAAACGCTTCTCCTTGTGAATTGGCTTCAACAGTGGCTTCATCCTTGGTACACGCCCGTGAAGGCCCTCACGGTTCACGTAGCGTCGCACTGTTGACACATCCACAGTTTTTCCAGTACTAGCCAGATGTGATTGCAATTCCTTGGAAGTGATCTTCGGGTCTTTATTTACTATTTTCATGCAGGAACGCTCCTCTCTTTCGGTTAATTTTCGATTACGACCGGTTTCGGTTAATTTTCGATTCGACCGGTATTCCTGAATCACGGTCAGACCAATCGGCTGTCAATGCTCTAAACTTGAATATCTTACGGATTCAAATAAGGAGGCGAAATCGTCGTAGATGGCGAAACCCTACGCATATCATGGCATTACAGGTTTTGTTATGCACAATTTCTTTTTGTTCAGGCTCCAGAAGAATCTAATAAATAAGTGAAGAAAATAACTTTAGATAACTCTGAATGGTCTTTTGAATTTCAGTGACATTCAACAAGAACAAAGATTACTCAGTTTGATTTTTTTGTTTTAAATTTTTTTTAGTTTGTTAATCATTATGGATGAAAGAAATCAGGTGGCCACTGACCTGTTGAATCTTACAACGCGCCTCAGCGATAAAGTCATGGAACTTCACCTCCCTAATCTATTTGGCGGGAAAGTAGCCAAGCGCTACGATCCGGTGAATTACGCTCGACAACCGTACCAGGAATATCTCAACAAGTTTTTCCCGCCAGGGCAAGAGCGACGCCCAGCGGGGAAAAAAATTCTTTTCCTCGGCATGAATCCCGGTTGGGGAGCAGCACAGACAGGAGTATGTTGACATATTCTTTAGATTATTAATATTTTAAATCTTTGTGATTGATTGTTATGATAAAGTTGCATTGTAACACTGCATTGAATAAAATATAATGGATCACCAACAGTTTATTGTCATGTTTTCTGTGTTATCAGTAAATTCATTCGTTACGTTTTAAAACTTTCGCTAACATCATGATGCAAAACATGATCAAATTTCCTTTGATCAACAATTCCTTTCCTTTGGTAGTTATTTATTAATTACTTTATTATTTGCTTTGGTTGTTATTTTGTTAAAATTTCCTTTTCCTTTGGTTGTTATTTATTAATTTTAGTTGAAGACTTTTTATGGTACTTTTTGAACGTTTGCAAGATGGATCACATTACATTACCGTAAGATATTAACATGTATGGCCAAAATAACATATTTATACACGTAATGACATGCATTACACTCTCCAATATTTCTTAGATACGCATACTCAATGATGTCTCGGATGGAAAATAATTTATAACAACAACCCAAAACCACTAGTTGTAGTTTTTTTTGCATATCTAATTCTGTTGACCGATGCTTGGCTCTTGTGGCTTTAATTTCACTTAACAGTTTTTATAAAACAATTCTAACTTTACTGATTTCTATTTATATAATTTTTAATACCATGAGAATTCGTGAACCTCAAACCTAATGTTAGTGTGAATAAATGCGCGACAGGCTCTTTGGTAAATTGCATAGTTTTTTTATGAAAACGTGGAGTGTCGTAAAAAAATTTGAAGTGTCCGTGGACAAATGTCATTGATTATAATATAAAGAAACTTTAGCCCTGGTTTACAAATACCTCTTAGTCTCCACCATTTCAAAATTTATGATTCCGCAGGTCCCATTCTGCGAATCAGATTCAGATTGTCAGCTGCTGTCAATCAACTGCACTGAAGTTGGACGTCCTAAAGAAGCAAAGACGGACGACACGGACGACACGGACGACAATCCTTTTAAAAATGCCATTAGAACGGTACGGCTTATTTTGTCAGCATTTTTACATTTTGGTCTGTGTATGAGTCTACCAGATAGGTTTTAAATATCGATATAATTCTTTTTATATCGCAGACGGTGTTCTTTCGTGTAACAAAATGATAAAATATTATAACTGGAGTAAAATCGTCAAATGATGTCAACATTTGCTCGACTTAATTGGGGTTTCCTTGTTTTACATGGAAATATTGTCCCGGTTATGTTAATAGCTGAAATTAAATCGATTATTAATACGATTTAATAGATTTTTAATACAATAAATATACTACATAGATTAATGATGCAAATACAACCCTCTTCAACTGCTCACTAACTGATTTAATTATTTATACTGTAGAAATGTGAGAATCGACTATGGAAGCTGCTGCTGAAACTCTTCGATAACGACGTGAAGGCGCTCTTCAGTTCTCAGCTGGTCTTCGTGCACTACTATTGTCCTGTGATGCTGCTCGACTCCGAAGACAAATACTTAGCCGTGAAGAAGCTTCAGGTAAATTTTTATTGTGTAACCTAAAACATGAACAGTCTAAATTATTTTTCCCATATTCTGCCTCTAGTACAAATATCAATGCATGGATATACAATCCATGCATCGATATTGGAGCTGAACAAATAGTAAATTGTCACATAGTCAGCTCATGGTCAAAACCACGACATTAATGCATTAAAAGACAAATGGTATATATGTTTGCAATATCACTTATTCTCACCTATTTGTATATTGCTGTGTAAAGTTTGCGTGTTGGATGAATCAATAGTTTATGGTTAAATATTATCGAATTTTTCATGCAATCAATATGTTGGACATCTCTGGACTTGCTATCATTCGGACTACTATGTTAAATGTGCTCTTCCGCTTATATGTAATTGTCATGTTTGTCTCTATTATAATAGTTAGTGTATTATGAAGAATTTCATACAATCGTATCTTTCTTTAAGGTAGTGAAGCAAATAAACCTTTCGAGAAAATTTATTGAATTTAGTAGTATGGATATTAACTTCAAGCTTGGAATCTTGCTGAATTCCTGGAGCCGGGACGGTTTCAGTTGCGCCAAAAGGTAAAGCCAAGAGATAATGAATTCCTGGAGCCGGGACGGTTTCAGTTGCGCCAAAAGGTAAAGCCAAGAGATAATGAATTGCTGGACCGCGTCAAGTGAAGCGGTAACAGGTATGTCGTGGCTGCTGCTCCGCCATCAGCTACACACCAGGTTTGCGGTTCATACTGTGAAAAGTTATTTTGAATATAAAGATCATAGAAAACAGAGTAAAAAGCATACAGTAACTTAAAGCAATAAATTTATACGAGGTTAAGGAAAACTAAATAATCACCTGAGATTAAATGCCACTCAGTGTGCTAACGCACTTTTTGGAAGAATTGCATTGATAGAAAAAAGAAGAAATCAGTTGAAGGTGGATGCTTCAGACGGAATTAAAGTAAGAATAGTTGAAGATTTGGTGCGTAGAAGTAAGAATAAAGGTTAAGCGATTCGGCGTGAACTCTAAAAATAGAGCTCTAGTAGAAGCCTCATCTACCTAAAGTTGAGTTAATGAAGTTGAATTTGAATTGAAGTCTGAAGCATCGCACACGATAATTAAGCATAGATTTGAGCAAACTAAACAAAACGAAAGAATATCGGGCACTCAAACCAAGGAATAGATAAATCACAGAACGAGGAAGAAATTTAGACTTATGGTTGAATGCTGGTGAAGTAGCGGCGGCAGCGACAGGCAGGCTGGAGATCGCAAAATTTGGTGTGGCTACGGTGGTGTCTCAGTGCGAACTATTTGCGGAAACCCGGGTCTGACCTAAATTACCCTAACATTAAACTTACCCTAGACTAATCTTAGTATTACCCAAACATAAATTATTACTAAATTCAGTTTAAAGAATACAAGTATGATTAACGGTGGGAAATTTCCCACAGTATAGCTATTACCGTAAATTGGTTTGGAACAGTTGAGGGTTGCTGTGTTTCTAGCGTGGTCTGCTACTTCGTAGCTACGAGAAAATTAGCGTTGGCTCCAGAGCTAGATTAAGAGTTGAATTGCTGTCAACGGATGCGTTCTCCCTGAAACAACGACAGCTTGCAATCCCACACACATACACACTCGTTCGCACATACAAACACACGCATACATTATTGTTCTATTGAAATCAGCATGTGATACCTGCGTTTCTCGGTAATGTTGAGTAACAGAACGATAAATAGGTTATTAATTAAGTACTAATGGACGAGTGAGAATAAAATTCAAGAGCCTGACAATTTTTCCATGCTATTGCACTCTAAAATCCAATATCATTAATTAGTTACACACAAACAACTAGATTAGTAAGACAGTTTTCAAGTCCTCACAAGGTTAATATTAATAAACAAGGGTGGCGGGAGTGCTACTAAGGCTGGTCGCCGTAAGCTGGAGTCTCTGTGTGACGAGGCTCTACGCGAGGTCGTCAAGCTGCTCTGCGTGACGGACATCGTCGCTGTGGGAAAATATCCAGCGCACGCCGCTCAACGCTCCTTCCATACCGCAACCAAAACCGACAATGTTAAGGTCAGTGAATTATCCAACGAGCTAAGGTCAGTGTATTAAGGCTTAAGAGGTTAAGGTTAGCGAATATCAACGCCACTCTCGAGTGAGAGGGCGAATATGAAATTTCGGGCAAAACGAATTCGACAAAAATTCGTACAGGAAGTAAATGCTCTTGCAATTCTGTTAGTATGTAGGGCCCTTCGCGAATGAGTTGTGTTGCATTTTACCTATAAGTAATACAAAATGGTTCTACAACAAGATTCAACGTCTGATTTCCAAGAACGTTTGATCAGTCAAATGTCGTAATATGTTTCCGTTTGTAAAATTATGCTAAACTATTTTATCGCTATTGCGATATTGCGAGGTACTGCTGTTATTTTCTCAAGATTTTCCGGCCAACAGCCGCCATTGTAATCTTTTGACTAAGTTTTTCAATGTTTAAAATGCTTTTAGTGTTTGAGAGTCGGACTTTATTACGCATACGCAAATTGCGAGCATGTCAAATAAATCTAATGATAATAATGGAAATTTTTGAATAACCGGTCGCAGATCCATAGGATCAGTCATCCAGACAATAATAAACTGCTTTGGAACGAAACTGTTGAGAAAATTCTTCGCGACGCCCAGCTTCTGTAATACTTCCATAAATATTCGAAGGCAGAAGTTTCTTCTTCTAAACTGGATGATCTCACGAAAAATATCTCGAAGACGGACTTTGGCCAAGACGATGACGAGTGAGTAATGGAAGATAAAACAAACTGACCAATAAATGAAAATTGATGCACGCAAGGGTTGTCACTGCCTGAAATTATCGACATTGTTTCAAGCCACTAAATGAACAAGTTACAAATTCGTATCAGAAACTTTTTACATATTTGTACCTTATTTTAAACTAAATATTTGCAAGAAACTTATGTGATAGATCTAATACAACGGACTCTCGTGCTATTATTGGAAACAAACTATAATCTTCATCTATAGAAATTCTGCGTCACTGCATCCGTCATTGCTTGGGCTGATGCAACAAGAGTTTGAAAATTTTAACAAAGTTAACAAAAAAATCACTGTTTTCATTTCATTTTCTCTCACTTAAGTATCACCAAATTACTGGTATTCTTCGTTATTTTAGGAGATCCCCTGTTTATATGGATTACATCTCTTCAATCTTGTTGCAAGCTTGTTGTACCTGGCAATTTTTAAATAGATTTTGCAATAATAATCTATTCTACCTGTTTACAGTTATACAGTCACAACAAACAACATACAAACTATGCATCTATGATTTTCATGACGTCTATTTAGGTAAAATTATCCGTGAGTGATGATTTGATTGAGTTTGTGATTTTTTTTGCCTTATAAATGTCCATTGCGGTTGATTGCCGTTATGTAATGACTGGATGATAGTATCATCTCCATTACAAATCCGGTAATGGTTCGATACTGTCTGATACAATCACTCTTCGAAATAACGGTCTGACCGGCGTTCTAGTGACCGGCTGCCCCTGGAAATGAACCGTTTCAACTTTTTCAAATCTTGTACGGGTTTCCAGTATTGAATAGGAACAAACAGCCACACAGTGTTTTTTCCCTTGCCGACCGGTCACTGAGATGTCGATAAGAGCGTTTTACGATGATTTTTTGAAGTGTTGCTGCCACTCTCGTCACAGTAGTTGTCTTGAAGAGATCAAAAAACTAATGCTTCTTATGCTTTGATTTATTTGTGATTCACTTCCGTAGAGGAGCCAAGATACTAAAGTAAAGCTCGGCAGTATGGAAGGTGCAACCATGAAAGACGAGGCCATGGAATAAAATAATGGCTGGTCTTTGCAGCATAGCAAGAAGCGGAAGGAAGGAGAAGGAAGAGCGAGTGATGTAACTTTTAATCTTAATAAAAAAATTGATGTCTAAATTCATACAGTCGTAGGAAAAAAGACTACATAGATATCAAAAAATTTTTAATTATTATTGACCCATCAGAAAAATATGTTCCTTTGCTGGGGTCACCCAGGTTCGGCCAGCCGTACTAATAGTACTTTAACGTAGACCCCAACAAAGGCTTGCAATGAAAGACACTTCAGAAACCACTCTCTTGAATATGTAGTTCCAAAACTCACCTAAAGAAAAAGAACAAAGAATAAATAACCTGAACTAACATATAAACGAACAAAAGACAAAGTATGAACAAACCTTCTGATGAATAAACTAATCTAACTTTACAGAATATAACAGAATAAAGAACATCTCGGAATAACCACAAAATGCAAAACACAGGAACCAACAAATAACCAAGTTAAAACACACCTTGACACTGTGGGTTCAAATGCGGGACTCACTAACACGGACTATAACCTACAAATCTAACTTCCGCATTTTTAAACTGAAAACTAAAATTACAAAAATACAAAATTTTGAAAATACTAAATTCTAATTCCCTAACACCTTTGACGTTTATATTAGTAATTTAGTTGATAATAATTTAGGAATTTAGTTGATAATAGAATATTTTAAGACTGATCTAGATGTATCGAACAATCAAGGTAATTGTGTTTGTTCTCGTATGAATAAGATGCTCGAATACACCAGAAAGTCTTTATGAAGAGATTTAATTTTCACAAATTCTCAATTGAAGAACTGCATGGGCTTCTAGCTTCCTATATAACTGATTCCACTTTCTATATAAGATTCTATATAGCAAAGTTTGACCTCTAATCCCCAGCTGTGCGTGTCATCTATGTCATAAACTATCAATTGTACTAAAATTTTGTGCGTAAATAACCACGTTCCAGCAGTGACATTTGAGAGAGATGCCCACAATCTTATTGTATATGTGACTCCTTCTCATCTTAAAATATAGTTATACAATACTCTAAATTTCTGCACCCAGACTGATTGTCCTGCAGTTGTGTACGTTTCTCAGGTCATTCTGGCTTCTCTAAATGCACTTCCTTCTGACGTTCAATAAAATCTCCATTGCTTCCGTTGGTCTCTGTTATTTCCAATTGCACCGCGATTAATTAATGGAACTGCTAGAAATTCTTGTATCGTCCTATCAACCTTGGTTATGCCACGTCAGCAATTTTCATTCAAAATTATTGGAGTAATTTTCACACAAACAAAACTCTAGTACATTTGTTAATTTACAAATACAACCAAATGGATCAAATCTCCTCTCAAGAATCATTATTTGGTTTTTAATCTTTTGATCCCTCGAGAATATTACGCAATTATCGGTCGATCGACTAAGCTCATGTTGGATCTCGTCTAAAAGCATCAAAGACGGAGGAGCCTTTGATGAAATCTTTAAAATGGTATGACTGGTTGTACTTGCATTTAAAACATTTTAACCTGCGTGTTAGTGCAGTGGATGCTCCATAACTATTTTTTACATTTCAGAGACGAAACTCTTTCGTGTTGCGAAATATTAGAATCATATTAGATTGAATAGTTCAATTATGTATATAAACATCTGCTTAACGCTGGCGTTAACTATTCTTCATGGAAATATTATTCCGGAAACCTAATATTGAATATTAAAGCAAATTTTAATTGCAAGCAGTTAGTAGATTTATGGCAGCAGCGCATTAATAGTTCAATATCAATGTTATGAATACGAATCCTTTAAATTCTTCAGTAACTGAATAACAAAGTTTTATAATGAATACAAGTGAAAAACGCCTGTGGGAAATAAATTTTATTTTCATAGTTTTTAGAACACCTCATATACAATTCTACGCATGATTAAACCTTGACAAGCCATTTGCGTTTACAGTTTCGATGCTTATATTGCAAAGATCTGTCTCTTATATGCATTACCGACGCGTCTCATCCTGCTCTGTCCAGAAATATGTTCAACATGGTGTTAGAAAGACCTAATAATGACTTTAATAATAACACTTAATAACCACGTATTTTCTATGCTAAGAAGACTAGATTAGTTATCGATTTGACACAATATACTTTTACTTGTCAAAAATTCAATTTAGCTGTAAATTAGGCATTGTGCTGAGTCAGGACATTCTGTGCAAGTATAAAAACGCCTGTTAATCATCTTAGTGAATCTAAAATTTCGAATGTTTGATAATGCATACTGCTTGTTGAATAACTTGATACTTTGATGCTTTTTATTGAATAAATGATACTCGCTTTGCTGGTATTCTAAAGTACACATTTACCTAATGTATCCTGTCAGGTACAAAAACTATAAAATGTTTAGGGAGACAAGCAAGCAGTAGAATTTGAATCGATTTGGTGCTTGGCACAAGCGCGTTAAAATTGCGTGTAAATCTTTTAAAATTTTTTTGCTGCCTCCGGCGAGCATCGTTAATTATTAATTCAACTTAGGACACGAAGTTGAAGTGAGAAAATTGCTTATTAAGTCTGACCATGAATCATTGAATAAATTTATTTGAGTTTTATATGTTTTGGCAACAATCATGTGAATTTATAGTAAATTTTCATTGTTGCTTTCAAGAGATCGCCACGAACCTTGCCTTCGATGGCCAGAAACATCGACATGTGTCATTTCGTGAATCAAATTTTTTACGTTTATTTAAGGTTCTGGATCGTTTTTCTCATTCTGCAAACTACTGAAAACATCATTTTTAAAATTTAAAGTCAGCCTATGTCATTTAAAGTTATTTTTAAAATAGAAAAGTAGCCTATGTTTTAAGGCTATCGTTAACATCAAGTTCTGAGTTCATTGAACAAACAACCATGAACGGTCCCAGGGTAGCTAGTCCCGTCGGTGATGTTTGCTTTGGATTGGGCAAAAGGTCTTTCCCTAAACCTCTGCATCTGTGAGCGCCTAATTTCCTTAATTAAACTGCCACAGCAAAAAACATTACACCAGTACGTCCTCATCGGATGTGCTGTCGAACTTGTGAGTTCTCCAGCACGTACAGGGTGGCCAGACGGACTTTTTTCCGGACAAATTCCGCAATTAATTTTTTTTTTCAATTGTTTTAGCCGGATAAAATGTATGATAAGGGTACTTCCTAATTAAATTTAAAAAAAAAACTACAATAAAAATAAATGAATTTTGTTACCGGAACCTACAGATATACTAGTATATATATTGAGTTACAGGCCTTTTTTGTTCGCGGATTGTCCGTTTTTAAGACCATCTGGCAACCTTGCTCCAGCATAAAGGATGTGTTCTCTTCCGGTATATTCATCATTCCATTCATTTTATTATTTGCTAAAACAATTTCAGTTATTGCAGTTATTTAGCTGGACGTCACATGTGGGATGATATGGTAAAGTTATGTTAAAGTTGATGGCGTTTCTGAAAAGTTATAACTGTATCAGGTTAACACATTTGTAAACACGAACTTAATAAACTTTTCTCATGTTTACTCTCATCATTGCATTATTAGTGGCAGAAGATGTGCAAAATACACACTGCAAAATAATCATTGATATTCTCAACACCCTTTTTATTGTATACATGTTAAATCTCGTATCAGAGCATTGAAAAAAATATTCTGTACACAGTGACAGTTGTTACATTGGAAATTCATGCTCTTGAAAAATGGCGGCCTCCAACTAGCATTAGTTCACACAATGGCATTTATAGACGCAAACTACAATGTCGCAACAATTGCTCAAATCTTCGTTCACCGCCGACTGATATTATGTTATTTTTTTCGGACTCATTCTCTCATAAATTCAATGTTACGATATCAGTCGATTGTTGCCATTATATAAAAATTGTGAATCCAGTAAATCTTTCTTGTTCAGCTAAAATATCCGAGATTCTAATGCCACAACATTAAGGAGTGATTATTAAGTAACGTTTCACCCATTTCTATTAATATTACGTATTCCAATGATAAAAGGTAAATGAATGAATACTGCATTGAAGTTAATTTTACGACATTATTATAAGTGCGCCGTGTCTAAATCTTTGTACCCACAAAAGGTTTTTTAACGAGGGTTACAATAACATTAATAACTGCTATCACACTTCTATGTTCTGTCAGGTTAAGTTGGAAGATTTGACAGTTTTCTGGACAAAAGTCACACCCAAATGTACGATCAATATTTCTTGAGCTGCATTGAGTTGGTTATTAGTAATTCTATACGCAACCAAGTAAACAACAATTATACCGATACAGCATCATACACAAATTAATTAATACATAATGCTTTTTTGAAAAGAGTTTGCTCCCGCCAGTTCAAGTCAGCTAGACTTTCGAATACTGGAATTATCGAACAATTTAGACCATTAGGTTTCCTAAAATCAAATACAACTACTGTTGTCATCAGGGGATACAATGTGGGGGATACAACTTTTACGCATCTCAGGTTCACAGGCTTTATAATATTCGCTAAATCGTTGTTTAAAATTGTTCACATCCGTTATTGGTATGGCAACTGGAAACCCGCATGGCGAGATTTACGTAACCCAACACTAATGTTAGTACAACCGGAAGCGCAGTCGAAATTCTCAATAGCACAGTTACAAACGGTAAAGTTCCAGATTTATTGATTGGTGTTAAATTTTGGTTTCTATCGACTAATTTGTTAGACTCATTGAGTTAGACCGCTGTCTAACGTTAGCAAATGTAGCACAGCTAACAAGAGTTCACACGTTCTTAGCCTGTCAATCATGACTGTTCTCTGTAGTCAACGAATCGAATTGCGAGATGTTTTTTTGTGATGCTGTATAAGAATTGATAGTTTCCTGCCCTGGCCGCGGTAATAACCTACGATTACAATGGGTAAAACTGCAGAAAAATTTCTGCGATGATAAATATTAATTTTTTATAACAATGTTCACAGACGACATTGAGTTCTCGAATCAATTTTTGTCCTGAATCTTAAATCCCTCAAACCCGGTAAATATTGGCTATACATTTCATATATAGTGTCATCATATAATTTCAATTAAAGTTAAAGAAATGGACAGTTAACTAGTAACTGGCTACTAAGTTTACGCAGATTATAAGAAGCTATAGTTGCCTAGAAGATTAATGTTTTACTTTAATGCCGATTATTAACTCGACGACAATATTGAAGCTATACAATATCGATGACTGTGTACGACGCAAGGAATAGACTCGAGTATTGATTTCTTGCAGACATAGACGCATCGACACAAAGTGCGTCATTTCAAATTCACTTGAATTGCAGATTGTTCATTGCGCGCCACGCCCTGGTCGCATACGATATATAGAGCGTACCATTGACGAAAATGTTCTCAAAGAGTACGAAACTGAACCATTTATTTCACTATCTAACTTAAGCCAGAAAATATTCTGCTTCAAAATTTTATTTCGCCTTTTTTTGGACCACCGTGTACAGACTTCCATTGCCGTAAAATTTGCACTGAGACTAAACTGATGTATATTACTTTACAATAACAAACTTTATCCGATATGGACAATTGATTTTGTACTAACTTCCGCTTCTAAAGACCAGAAACCGGGATGTTTCAACATTCTTCGTAATTTCACAAAGATTTTAGATATTTAATGCTGAGGATGAAGCGCTACATTCACTCAAAGTTTGTAAGAATTATATTGCAGAAGTTCCAGGTCTTTGCTTAAGGCTAGTTTTCTCTGCAGTTCGTAAGGCAAGTCAAACAAATCCTGCCAATGACTTCCGTGAGCCCCAAAAGACAATGCCTTCTTGCAGCCGTAAGAGTTGACTGTTCCTTTGAAATCAAAGTTTGATCTTGAGCACATGCTTCTCTGTTCATTTCGGTAGGAAACTGCCCTCAAGGAATTGGAATTCAAGCTGGAAAGTAAAATTTGCGCGTGTGGAGGAAGTTCGGGTAAAAAGTTTTCTTGAAATCTTCGGTCTCGACGTGAAGCTTCAACAAGCATTTTATCTGGCAGTTCGATTCCTTGTATGATTCCGATGCATTGATAATAAATACGCTCAGGAGTCTCTCGCCTTATAGATGTAGCGCAGTATATGAGATTTTTCCCAACATAGTATGTAAAAAACAAGAGCCCCGACCAGTTCAGCACTTAATTAAGACATTGCTACACATCAATGATGGGGGCAACAGCATCTTCAGGCACTGGGATCTCTTTCGTTAGGACGTGAGTGGCGGGAGTCTGCCTGAGCGGCTGCAGTAGTGGCAATATGACGGTGTACAGGAACGTACCGACGGCCGCCACGAACACTACCCCCAAGAACGCCAAGTCGGTCGTTGCGAAATGAAACATTTTGAGAAATTCAGAGAGCATTTGAACGCTAATAAATTTTGCACATTACCGAACACTGAATAAAAGATGTTTTTATCGTTAAATGCTGCACTGTTCACAGTAATTAAACGAAAAATTCTAGATTTATTCGCATCTTGTTAATGACTTACACCTTTCTGTTATTGATGGCTTTTGTCACAACGACAACCACTCCGAAGAAGAGCGCGATGAGGAACAATATAAGCAGAAACACGTGGTCAAAAATGATAAGTGCCGTCGGCATAGTAGCGATCAAATAACTCGCTCGTCTTGCTTTTGTAAGTCATCAGGTATTGAGTACATTGTTGCACATTAAAACTGTTTAGATCAGAAAATATATTATTTCGGTATTAACTGTAGTACCAATCTTACATTTCTCTACTCTCCACGGATATGAAGGTAGAAGGAAAGTTTCCTCTATATTCCAATAGTAGTCCAATAAGAACCTGTATGATACTTGTCCGACCAGCGGACAAAAGCGTGGCCCCAACAGCAATATCTCGTCTGTTTGGAGAACAAGCAAAGGTTCAGGGCTGGCCTCCCGATTGTCACGTTGACTAACGACGCTGTCTCCGAGAAGGCAGGTGGGAGTGGAAAAATCTCGGCAAGACGTTGGACAGAAAAGTTATTTACGAGACGTTATTGGAGAGACGTCGATACAGTGAGAAACAATGTAATCTCAGCAATGAAGGATGAAATTGTACTGAAATACGCAAGTCTTAATGCTGTTGCGACTTTTGTATTTTGGTGCATATAGTTCTTGATGGATAGTTTTCGAATGACCTTGATGCCGTTCAGATTATGACACCCATACAAAAATAAAGCGAACCTATCGATACATTCGTGAAGTTGGAATTTTGCTGTAGTAGCTTATAGCGAATTTTAACTAGAAAAGACTTCTGCAGCCACCAATATACATATATAGATTTGATAGAAATTTACGTTTCTGAACTAGTTTCATATAAATATTTTCAGTGCGAAGATTAAGTGAAAAGGTGTAGCACCTTTGCGGGCTTCGACGGCTAAACTTCTCCCTCAGGAAATCGTCCAGAACCTGCAATACAAAATCATCAATAAGCGAGGTAAATATTGAAGTATTCAATCTCCTAGTAACGTAAAGCTCAAACTAATTTTTGGCAATAAATATTCAAGTTACCAATTTATTTAAACAAGAAGTAGTTCATGCTATGTAAATAATAGCATAGAAGAATTACTGGTTAACGTAATTTAAATAATACAGAAAAAACAAGATGATTATCCCAAATAACAGTACCCCACAGATTTTAAGCATATTTAGAAATTAATTACTGAGCAAGTTAATCATGAATAATAAATTAAAAAATTGAAACTATCATTAATTTCAATGAAATACATTAATGATGCATGATGTGAATTCATTATGGTATTAACACAGCAAGCATCATCGCGAAATATCAGTAACGCTCTAACATTACATTACGTTAATATACACGTTACATTAATATACACGTTACCTTAACATACAAGTTACGTTAATATACACGTTATGTTAATATACACATGTTACGTCAATACACACATTAAGTTAATACACACGTAACGGTAATATACATTAACGCTATGATTACTTAGGCAACGGAATATTTTTGTATGACATCAGCGTCGCAACTGTACTGAGAACACTGCATGACGTACCAGAAATTGTGACGCTTATAAAAGCAATTTGATGGTGCAATCGTCACACCATCTGAAGTGTCCGAAGCAACGGTTGAAATACGTCCGTGGTTGAGTAGATGCAGTCTGAAATAAAAAATTACAGTAGAACATATTTTTTCATAATTTTAAATTGATTTAGCTTGCAAGAATGTACAATACAAGTGTATTTGATATACATATAAAGTAAACATTACAGTATGAAATTTTCGTGGCATCATAACATATTCACTCTTGGCAGTAACAGTTTAACGGAAAAGTTTGATGTGAAATTTTTGATGCTCCCTACAGGGTTTGACGGCTCAGAGACACAAGATCGTCTCTGCCGAGCTAACTTTCTATTTAGGAATTTTGTTAGGAGTTTCTTGCTCACTTGGGAATAACAATTGCTATAGTACAACTCAAACTAGAACACGCAGCTCGCTAATACCATCTCAGGTATAATACTCTGGTATTATAATTTAGAGTTCACCGGACTACAGGCATGATTATAACTGGAATTCCTTGTCGTGAGTAGGAAGGTAGAGAGAAAAAGTAGAAATTTTTGCGACAACCTTTATAGCGAAATGCTAAGAAAACTTCAAAATGCATTTAATCTTTTTTCAGATGAATATGGAAGGAAGCAATTGTTTGATTTTCATTACTGAGAGGGAAATATAACCTGCATGATAGTGATGTTAATATAACCCGGAGAATTAACAATTGAAGAAGTGCGCGCCATGTTATTAAAGATCAAAATTCATAATAAAAAATATAACTCAGTACTCACTGTAGTGAGTGACAGAGAGCGCATTTTCATCGTCGACGAAAACATGAAGTCATGGACTGACAGACGGACAGACAGACGGACAGACAGACGGACAGACAGACGGACGGACATGACGAGCACAATAATGCATTTATGCCATAAATGAGAAATGCGCTAATAAGTCCACAAGGTGATGGCGTGGCCCAGCACGCGCCAGCAGGGCGGGCAGGTGTTAGTAGATTGGACGGCAGATTGCCTACAATATCCATAAAAAATGGAGGTCAAGAGCCAGGTCCATATTGTAGATAGAATCTTGAGATCAACTTAAGGCAATATGCCTGCTGCACTGCTCTTACTGGAAGAAAATATAATTATTTCATATTCAATGCGTGGCAGCATTCTTCGTTTAAATTGTATTCTTAATTAACAAGGTGACACCTCAGCTGAACTTATTAAACAAAAATTTCCAATCATCAAAATAGGTTTTTCCTAAAGATTCTAATGGCAATTACCTAAATTAAAACTTTTCTCTCAATAGATAATCAATACAATATATACGAATCGCACTTTTCGATCAATACATATTTCTATTAAAATATAATTGAATCGGTCGCGTTAATTTGTTGCCTGTAATTTTACACATACGTACGTTGCTTAACAATAAGTCACATTCTCTCAGAAATTTCACCAAAAACCATCATTTCTGACAAATTTATGAATATTCAATGTGTATTTAGTGTTACAAAACTACGTAATTTCTATCGTGAGTATTCAAGCAGATCCTTCCAGCTGTTTCTGACGAAATTTGTTTAGAGCAAACAGAATTTCCACTGATAGCATCGGCCGAAGGTCACGCGAGCCAAGCCATAGCCTGCTTAGATTATAGCCCCCGGTATCGATAAAAGAATTGCAGGAGCATCGGAAGATAATAGGGCATCGATCTCTGCTGACATCCTGGAGCAGCTCGGAGTTATTTTGATCAGAATGATTCACGTCACTGATCAGTATTTGTTGGTTTCACTAGTATTATAATGATATTATTTGATTGTTTCACTAGTATTATAGTAACATTATTTGTTTGTTTCGCTAGTATTATACTGACATTATTTGTTTGTTTGACTAGTATCAAAATGATATTATTTGTTGCATCACTAGTATTATAGTGATATTCTTTGTTTGTTTCACTAGTATCAGTCAGAGCACAACAATTTTTAGGTAGTTTTGTTTTTTTTTGTTTTTTATTCTGTGCATGTAGGAGACCGTATCAACTTATTATTCTTTCTTTAATACTTTTGTGCAGAATACTACGAAATCCTGAAACTTCCATTACAGCCTGCAATATAATTATTTGCAACAAAATAACTTGCATAGACTAAAGGTAGATTCATTGTGGAGTGTCAACTCTAAATTCTTAATGTCTCAAAAGTCTTTCTAACTTCACGTGCATCGACTGTGCATATCGTAATGACTTCCAGTTGACATTATCACAACAGCTTTGCGGTCAAGCCAAGAGTGTGCGGAGATTATTACAGATTACGGTCGTAAAAAATTACAGTCGTAAAAAACTTTAGAGCAGGAGTGTGCATGTGGCTGACCATGCAGGCAGGAGTGTAAAGAGATTATAACAACTGCTGTCTCTTATACACATCTAGATGTGTATAAGAGACAGTATCACAACAGTTCAGCTGCCGAGGCAGGAGTGTAAAGAGATTATCACAACAGTTCAGCTGCCGAGGCAGGAGTGTCAGGAGATTATCACAAAAGTTGGGCTGCAGTAGCAAGAATGTTCAGAGGCTATCATAACAGTTCGGCTGCCGAAGAAAAATTGTGTCGACAGTACAAACCTCAAGGGACACGTTCTCAGATATTTTAGGACCTCACAGAGTGTACTCCTAGCGTCCTTTTCTCTTGTAGTTTATGTTCGACTTGGCAATAAAATTTGTGCTCGGCTCGTTGCAGTTTTTAGCTGCCAGTCCTTTGGCTGATGGCGTTTCATTGCTGTCCTCCCATAAAGTTCAGGTCCACAATACGTGTCGGGAATACAATGAACTATTGTCTTCACTTGGCAGTTGAAAACTTAGGACATCTGACACAGCTGCAATTACTGAAATATATGCACGTTAGTTTTAGGCCTACTAATCTATGAAGAAATATAAGACTATTAAGCTAAGATAAAATATCCAACGCACAAAAGTGCTACTACTCAATTCCGAACACTCGACGCACAGATGGTCTGTTGAGATCAAGACAATGTATGAGTAAAATTTACTTATATTGAAAAACAAAAGCACGAGTCTACTATCAATTATTTTCGTTTCTACGACATTTTTGCAGGCATTGGCTAGTCTGACTCGAAATTCAGCTTTAGAACAGGACCCTCGTTCGTTACCGCCAGACAAAGCCGGGATTATTTCCTCTATCAGCCGCGTCCAGCGACGTCGCCATCTGACTTCCTATCAATTGCGTCGCACGCGACCACTCCATTTGCAGAAGTAATGCTCTTGCAAGTGGATTTTAAATTTATCATTTTAAAATATTTGGTTCAGCGAAAAATTAATGAATGGTTAAGCGAGATAAAATTAAATATTAATGTTGTTATACTGTATTACATTTAATATTATTATCAAATTAGCACTTGCATTTAATTAAGTTTTGCAGCATAAATCATTTATCCGAAATTATTATCTCAGGAAATGAACTTATTGGATCAAGCTCTTCAGGTTCGGTTGCTAATAACCATCAAGTAAAACATGACGGGTAGAAACTGTAGCCGACTTATAAATAATATTTGAAAATGATCAATCAATCTAAAAGTTTTCAGTTAAATTCAGAGTAACAGGAGAAATTTGAAAGTACAATAGCATCAGGCTGAAATGGCTGAAAACTACAATCTAAAAGTTTTCCGTCAAATTCAGAGTAACAGGAGAAATTTGAAAGTACAATGGTATCAGTCTGAAATGGTTCAAATTCTGTTTCAGTCAATAGGAAATGAATGACACCAAAGCCATTCAGAAGTTTCCGACAAAAAGCCAAAAATTTCTCCACAGTTTCTGGAGAACAAAGCCAGCCTGTCGGTCTTTCGTCGATGTTCGTTAGATTTTCGTGTAAGTTTTACGATAGCAAACTTCCTGACGGGAGACAGAGATACGGTTAGTCTGTCTTGTTAATCTATCAATAGTGTTCGGAACGCTCCATTGTGAAGGCCATATAAAATATTAATGTCTTGATCAGGATTTTGTCTTAGTTAAACAGAGATTCTGTTGCCCTCACAGAAGTAACAATAAAATCTGAAATAAAAACTAATTTAATTTTTTTTGTGCGTAATATTGAAATTGAAAATATTGAACGCCCACAAGCTAACAAAAGCTTTGCAGGCTACAAGGTGGTATTTTAACCCCATTTAAATGATAATACGGTAATGATAAGAATGACAGAAAGTTTCCCAAAATAAATACACCCATTACAAAAACCTCAAAAAAAAACTGATAATAGCATATCACTTGAAGCAAGCATATGGCAAAAGATGCATTATACACTGAAAATTAGGCTGTAATTGAAAACAGCCTGTCAAATTACTGTAATCTTACATGATAATCGAATCAAAATTAATAATGGTAAGAAAAAAATTGCCGAATTTAGTCTCTAAAGGAATTTAGAACCATCTATTTTAAAATCATCCGGCAACTTATTAAAATATTTTGCACAATTAAAAACTGCACCGTATTTTTTAATTTCTAACCAAACCGGGGGTAAGTTAACCTCAAAAATCCTAAAATATAAATATGTAAAAAAATTTCAACTTGAACTACAATTATAACGGCATCAATATGAAGAGGCAGGTTCAGTACGATAATCCAAAAATCTAAAGCCGTTAAAACATAAAAAATATAACTCAGTACTCATTGCAGTGAGTGACAGAGAGCGCATTTTCGCGTCGACTAAAACGTGAAATTGCGGACGGCCAGACAGACGGACGGACGGACGGACATGGCGAGCACAATAGTGCATTTTTTCTATTAATGAGAAAATACGCAAAAACAGATCTCAGATCAACGAAGTATACCTAGAGCATGATAATTATCAACGACCAAGATGAATATGGCACAAAAAAATAGACAAGCACAGTAGATAACGAATATGATACAAGTTTTTGAACTATGTGTGCAAAGAAATATAACTCACTACTCACTGCAGTATGTGACAGAGAGCGCATTTTCTCGTCGACGAAAACGTGAAGTCACGGACGGACAGACAGACGGACAGACGGACGGACATGGCGAGCCCAATAGTGCAATGCTCTAAAAAGAACAAGATGGAATTAATGGGAAAGTTTGCTTAT